TGCAATGTGGAAGCAAAACCTTCAGAGGAGCCCTTTGTCCTGATGAGAACGCATCTGGGGTGCTCTGGGGGACAAAGGTCGCAGAGGGCCCTGATGAGATCAGCAACACGAACTCCGCAGACTTTCTCAAATGACAGAGTAGTACACACAGGCCTTCACGGACTCCAGGAAACCTTGGTGACTTTGCTTTTGAGGGGTTTATCCAAGACCACTGACGACCTCCCTTGGCACTTCCATTCTCCTACTCTAGGCTCTACTTAAGCCCAGTAACAAAAGGGAAAGGGAACAAGCATCTAAGAGGGCATCTAAGCACATCAGTAAGTGTGTACTGCGGATAACTGATGGGCTCCGTTCAGCAGTCTCTGGAGTGGCCTGGAGTTGACCGGGTTGGAAGGAGCGCATGTCAAGGACCAGAACAACGTAGCAGAGGCATTAGGGCCTGACTCTGCATAAAAACAAGCCTGACAGGAGCGGCAGGTCCATGTTAATGAGTAGTTAGACACCCACCGGCAGGGGCCTGTATTATTCAGCTGGCATATGCACCTGTATGTTGCCTGATGCCCTGCCAGTTTTTAAAATATTGCAACCCTGCTGAATTGGTCGTGGATATTGTGAACAAACGCCCCAGACATGAGATCACACAGAGCTGTGAGGATGAGACACGGGAGCTTTGACTGGCATGGGAAGGAAAGTGGAGGTGTACAATGACATCCCCAAGGGACTTAAACAGAGGAATGTGACAGAAAGGCAGTTTCAGGGAGATCTATTTGGCAAGTGGGGCCTTCCGCCGGATCTCACCAGAAGGGCAGAGGGAGGGAGTTTCCTACTGCTGCGCCTGGCTTAGGTGACAAGTTGTTTGTTCTACAATCACTTTATAAGGAGTGGCCAGACAACCCTTGCTTAAGACACCAGTTCAAGACAAATGAGCTGTGTTTATGTAGACAGACACAGCCCGGCCTCACCGGCATGTGGGTACCCAGAATGAAATGACCAAGGCTTTCAGGTTTTTCTGACTAATACTCTCAGATGCTTATCAACCCATTAGTTTCCTAGAAAGTGCTCTTAAGTCTCCTGTCCCTCGCTACTCATATCCTCCCCCAGGGCATGAATGGTGATATGGCAGTTGGGCACACAAGATAAGGGCAGAGAAGGATCCATTAGGGGGGCGCCTGGGTGGCTCGCTAGGATGAGCATCCGACTCTTGATTTTGGCTCAGGTCATGATCTCAGGGTCGCAGGATTGAGCCCTGTGTTGGGCTCCATGCTCAGCGGGGAGTCCGCTTAAGATTCTCTCTCTCTGCCCCTGCCCCCACTCACATGTGCCCACTTACATATATGCGCGCACACGTGCTCTCTCTCTCTCAAATAAATAAGTCTTTAAAAACGTTTATCCATAAGATTTAGCTCCTGGGGAAGATCATTGGCATCCGAGCCAGGGCAGGCCTTGTCTAGTGAGTGGTGGGGATAGAGGACATGCGCCCAGGAATGAGGAATGATTGTAAGAGGAAGCAGAGTGGCATACAGACAACTTGTTCAGAAAGCTTTGCTGGGAAGAGCAGGCGAGTGACGGGCCGAAGGCAGAGGTGGCTGTGTGGTGAAATGGGGGACCCTTGACAAAAGTGAGGCTTCAGCCTGGGTCCATATCCTTACAAGCTGGCTTTTCCAGTTGCCCCTGCCATCTCTTTAAACTGAGGCCACTCGTCCCTTGCCTGCTCTTCTTCCAGGGGTTACAACTGTGATGCTGACTCCAACCTTGAAGCAGGGACTTTGCCACTCATGGGTAGGCCATCTTCCCCATGAGTGGGTACTTACACTGCCTGCCGCCTGCCAGGAGTTGTGGGGACTCTCTGTATTACCCTGTGCAGGGCTGTGCTCGGCCACCAGTGGACTATTCGATGCCACCATTATGGACCCCAGCCCCCTTGCCAACTGTGTGTCTGAATTTGGACTGTAGGTTTTAACAACTGAGCTACTTTGACTGAATCTTAATGGTCAGCTCCTGGCTCCTATCTCACCCGGCAGCCAGGGAAGCCAGGTCCTGGCGTCACCCTCAGACCCCCGTTCCGCTGTAAGCAACCTACCATCCTCTACCAGTTCTGGAGATGGTCAACCATACGGTAAGCCAAACACAAGCCACATGAGGGTAGCCAACAGTAAGCGAGTCCTAGGTGGGTACAGCCCAGTGGTGACTGTCAGCCGGAAACCTTTGACTGTATTCTCCAATCTCTGGAAGATCAATTTCCTTACAACACACAACAGCAAACAAGAAAACCAGGAATGTAAGTTGGCTTGGGAGTGAGGTATGTTAAGAGTCTGAAATAGGAAAGTAGCCATCAGAGTACCAATAGAGACCGATGTCAAGGTGGGCTGTGTCTCTGAGCAAACGACAAACCCAGAGTTGTCAGAACTAGATGAAAAGGTGGGCAAAATCTTCTGGAGGGCTATGGGGGAGGAAACCTGTAATTACAACTACCCATGAACACAGTGAAGGAAAGGGAAGTAGATCCTACCAGTGAAGGGAAGGGAAGTGGATCCTACTTACAGATAGAAAATCAAAACTCGGGGCACCTGGGTGGCTCAGTGGGTTAAGCCTCTGCCTTCAGCTCAGGTCATGATCTCAGGGTCCTGGGATCGAGTCCCACATAGGACTCTCTGCTCAGCAGGGAGTCTGCCCTCTCTCTGCTTGCCTCTCTGCCTACTTGTGATCTCTCTCTGTGTCAAATAAATAAAATAAAAATCTTTAAAAAAAAATAGAAAATCAAAACCCAAGACCCTGGACGGTTTTGAGAAACTGGAGGCAGAAGATGGTGAGTGCAGAGCAAACAGTGAGGACAGCAACTTCCCCCAGAGTTCAGGACTGCATTTTAGAAACATCAGAAAGACAGAGCCTCCAGATCTCTCTTCTACCTGTCCCTGATTCCTGAAATTAAACCATTCCTTTTGGGCTAGGTCTTCTTCAACAAAGACCTTCCTGAAAAAACTAACACTTGAAGCTACAGCTAGTCATTTGTCTTTTAGTCTAAGTTTCAGATTGTTTTTTGGGTGGTTTTGACAGGTGACGTGAAGGCCCCAGGCACCCAGGGATGGGGCAGAAGTCAAAGCAGGGAGGAAAGAAATGAGAGCTGGGACCCCGAAGGGGTCAGGCCCACAGTGACTCACCTGGGTGCAAGGTGCACATTATAAGCCTCTTGGGTTCTATCTTGACAGAAGTGTCCCAGGATTTACGCCACTGCACCAGAGTTGATAACTTACTCTGCATACGCTGATGGCTGACAGTTTGGCTATGTCTCCATCAGTAACACAATCTGACTTTTCTTCTGGGAGCCAGAGGCAATCTCATAATCTCCTCCAACACTGATTGTGCTAGGGGGCTAAAGACAGGCTTCACCTAATTCAGTGCCGCCTATGACTCCCACTCCTGATCCATGGAATGTTCCAAAGTCACTCATAACCCACTTTAAGCTACACATGTGGGGAGCAGAGAGGGGAACAGAGTTTTAGGTTAGAATCAAGTTCAGCCCTGAATCCATACAGGTATATCTCTTACACTTACTCATTCCTTCCTCGTACAAGCATTTACCGAGTACGTGCTATCCTGGAGTTTATATCCCAGTGTGGGGAGACAAGGAAATTAACGGTCCTCCCTGGGGTGCCCAGTGGCCCTTGTGCTGTGGAGAAGAATAAAGCCAGGGAAGGGGAGGACAGAGGAACCTCATCAGAATGGAGGGGGGGCTGGCTCTTAGATGCAGGAGGTAAGGGCCTCCAAGAAGGGTGAGCGTACCCTTAGTGTGGTGGAGGCCCTACCCGGGGAGGACAAGGAGATAGGTAGGAGGTGAGGTTAAAGAGGCGGCAGGCCCAGGACCCAGAGGGCATGGGCACCAGCTAAGGACTTGGGCTTTTGCTCTGAGACAGATGAGAAGCCATGGGAGCTTTGCACCAAGGACTAACACGATCTGATTTGTGTTTGAAAAGGATCTTCTGGTGGCTGTGTTGAGAAGAAACTGTAGGAGGACAAGGGTGGGTATGGAAAGAGGTGGTTAGGAGATGTAACAATAAACCAGAAGACAGACGAGAGTGCTCAGACCAGGGTGGTGGCCGTGGAGATGGCAAAACTTTAGATTCCAGATTCATTTGGTGGAGCCAACAGTGAGGGAACAGATGTGAGAGAGGTTGAGAAGGATTCCTAGGTTTGGGCCTAAGTGAACAGAAAGATAAAAGTGCTTTTCCAAGATGAGAAAGCCTCAGAGAACAGGTGTGTGTATATTAGGAGGAAGGAACAGGGGAGGGCGAGAGGAATCAGCAATCTGGTTTAGGATGCAGCGAATTTAAGAAGTCTAACAGGAGTCTAAATGATGATGTCAAGTACACAGACAAGTCCCATGGTCAGTAAGTGACAGAGCTTTGAGTCCAGGTCCATGGACCTCCAGGTCAGGTCCAGGCAATGAATGGGGAAGACAAGGGCTCTGCAACCAGAGATGGTCACTAACGATGTCAAGGAATCATCATTAAGCTCAAATAATAGACTTTTTGGCAATTTGGCCAGGGAAACTCATAGAAAAGTTGTTCCCCAAATGCGGAGTATAGTTCATACAAGGAATACGAAAGCCCCTGTTACTCTCACAGGCTCACCTATAACAGGCCCATATTACCACGTTCTGAAGTTTTAAAAGAACAAAACAAAAAGCAATTCCACCCCTCTCCTTGTTGAGCCTCAGAATGCAGCTGGACGGAGATTAGAAAGGGACTCAGACAAAAAAGGCCTCCAGGAAATAGCTCCGTGTCCTGGTTACACCAGGGAGCTTTGTCTTTTGAAGTTTCTCCCCACAGTCCTGCTTAGATAAGATGTTTTCTACCCCAGACAATGGACCATTCCTCACAGAGGTGCTACTGGAAGGGAGAGAAACAAACGAACACAAGCCCATATGTATTGTGTTTGTGTGTGTGTGTGTGTGTGTGTGTGTGTGTGTGTCAGTGTGAGCTGTTTTAAGCTCTGCGTCTTACCTGAATCCACATCAGAAGAGCAAGGAAGAGAAAGGGTTTCCACAGAGCTCAGTGCCTCGCTGTCTGCCTCCTGGTGGGCTCTCTGCAGAGCATAATCTTTTATGTCGTTGACGGACGCCAAGTCCAAAGCGTTGCTCTCCTCTGACTGGCTTCCTGGAGCGGCTTCCTGGGTCGCCATAGTCCTGCCATGGAAAAAACAACTCAATACAAAAGGCACTGTGAAAGAGGAGCCTCCATTTCGGCCACAGCTCGAAAGGCGAAAGTCCCAGAATACCTTATGTTCCCGTTAGTAACGATCTTTTTCCTTGTCCCTACTTTAGACTCACTATTTGTTGACCATGTTTCTTCCTCAGGAGAAACAGATACTCTCAGCCCAGAAAGCGCCCATTAATAACTCCAGCTGGAGGGGCACCCGGGTGGCTCAGTCAGGTAAGTGCTCAACTCTCAGGGTTTCAGCTCAGGGGGTGATTCAGGGTCATGAGGTCAAGCCCCACATCAGGCTCTGTGTTCAGTGTGGAGCCTGCTGGAGACTCTTTCTCCTTCACCACCTGCCCCTCTCGCTCATGCTCTCTCTCTAAAATAAATAAGTACATCTTTAAAAAAATAATAATAATTTGAGCTGGAGAATAAGCTGCATGTCTGACATGGATGAAACACCATGTAGCAATATAATCCAAGGACTACAAGAATATTCACTGAGACAAAAAACTGTTCATGAGGGCGACTGGGTGGCTCAGTTGCTTAAGCGACTGTCTTCAGCTCAGGTCATGATCCTGAAGTTCTAGGATCGACTCCCGCATCAGGTTCCCTACTGAGTGCGGAGTCTGCTTCTCCCTCTGACCCTCCCCCTTCATGCTCTCTCTCTCTCTATCTCTCATTCTCTCTCTCAAATAAATAAACTCTGGAAAAAAAAAAAGGAAGAAACTGTTCATGATATATTACTTTGAAAAAAAGATTTCTAAACAATAGGTAGGATTCAATCCAGATTTTATAAAATACAGTATCATGTGTGGGGTGTTGGCCTGTGTGCGTGTGTGTGTATGAGCGAGAAATTTATAGATCCATAGCTAACAAAAGCATCTGGAAGGGTATATTCCAAATTAACTTTAATGGTAATTAATTCAGTAGTTTAATTTCTGAACAATAAGATTACAGATAATTTGTATTTTTATCTGTGGCCTACTCAAACACACATTCGGTCACTAATTTCACATGCCAGGCCCTGGGTATACAAAGGTGACTGTAATAGACCCTTCCTTCAAGTTGCCCACAGCTTGGGATGATCCAAATACAGAGACCTACCAGGTCAACACAAGGACAAGACAGAGAAGAACCCAGAAGAGGACATTAAGCTTTCTGGACAAGGTTATCCCCAAGCAAGGAGTAGGCCTACCATGGCGGCAGACAGCATAAACACCAGTGGAACCAGCTTGGGCAACCACAGTGGCATGGGGTATTGGGACTTTAAAGTCAGAGTCAAAGAAGAGTTGTGCATGGGTAACTGGGGAGGGACAAGCCCTGTGGTTTCAGCTGGATAACTGTGGGGCCCTCTCCTGTTCCTATGCCAGCTCTGGGAAGGACAGCAACATGGAAACACAAACTCTCCAGCAATGCTCTAGAGACCACAAAGGTGGCTTATTGGGCTCATCATTTGGACATTCCTTGTTTAAAAAAAAAAAAAAAAAATAAGGGCATCTGGGTGGCTCAGTTGGTTAAGTGTCTGCCTTCAGCTTGGGTCATGATCCCAGGGTCCTGGGATCAAGTCCTGCATCAGACTCCCTGCCCTTTGCCCCTCCCCTAAAGCTCGTGCATTCGCTCGCTCTCTCTCTTGCAAATACACACAAAATCTCTAAAAAACAAACAAACAAAAACCTTAAAAAATAAAATAAAATAAAATAAGGGGTCCTCCTCTGCCAGTCTCTGCCTCATAAATTGTCATCATCGATAAATCATATTATAGCCAACACCACACATCATGACTGCCATGGGCAGCCATGCACCATGCAGAGGGCCTGCACGGTCAGATGTGCAGATCTGGCAGCTGAACAGGAGATGCATTTGCAAGGTTTCAGCCCAGTGGCTGGCCATCTCAGAAGCAAGAGGAATTCCTTCATCTGCCGTGGTCCCAGTGAACAAGGAGGAACATGTGACCCAGGGCAGAGCAATCAGGAGCAGGGAACAAAGTAAATAACATATTTAGGAGCTAAAATGAGAGCAGAACGTAATAACTGAATGGATAACAAGGTAAAGTGAAACTGAGAGCCAACAAGGAGTGGCAGTTTCAACGACAGGGTGATTATATGGACGGAGTTGAGAAGACTACAGGAGGAATGGCTTCGGGAGGAGACAGTATTCCAAATTATGGAATATGGTGCAGCTCTTAAAATGACAGTTGGGACTGGAAAGAGGGGGTGCCTGGGTGGCTCAGTCGGTTAAGCGTCTGCCCTCAGCTCAGGTCATGGTCCCAGGGGTCTGGGATCAAGCCCTGTGTCGGGCTCCTTGCTCAGCAGAAAGCCTGCTTCTCCCTTTCCCATTCTCCCTGCTTCTCTCTCTGACAAATAAATAAATAAATAATCTTAAAAAAAAAAAAAAAAAGGAAATGTCTCAAAGACATATGTTTGAATGAAACAAGCAATTTCAGAATAAGTACACTAGTAAGAGTAGGTAACATTTATCCAGTGTGTATTGGATACCCAGTCTTGTGCTAAGAGCTTTATCTAGAACAGCCCTATGAAGCAGGTAATTCCGTACTACCCTTATTTAGAGTTAGAGTCAGACACAGAGAGAAGTAGAGTAACTTGCCCAAAGAAATTCATCTAGAAAATATCAAGCCAGGATGAACCCAGCTCCAAGACCTCCCCAGCCTCCTGCGTCTCTGCACAGCCCAAAGTACCACCTGATCAGGCAAAGACAGAGATGTGTAAAAACAAAGCAGCAGAGAGGCCTGGCAAGATTCTTCTTGTTTGAGGACACCCGGTCACATGTTGTTGTGGACATTCGCTCAGGCAGAGAGTGAGCCAAGATGGCAGCTGACTCCTTCTGAGAGAAGCAGAGGGATCAAGGTTCCCAAAGAAGCAAGAACATTGTGTCTTTTCACACATTATATTAGTCAACCACGCCTGAAGTTTCAGCAAACACCTCTGCCACAGGCATCTGTGTCTCCTCCTTCGCCCCTCATGTTACCAAACACTGTTCTGGAAGCTCCTGGAAGGGAAAAAAACAGGTCAGTGAAGGAGAGCAGTATAACCTGCCTGCCTGAAGAGGAGCCTTGCAATTGCCCAGCAAGCAAGAGTGCCATTACGGATACAAACAAAAGGAATCCTTCCTGAAAACAAACAGCACATTGATGGGACACCTATCTTTTCTTTTAGAATCACCTGTATTAAATGTCAAATACGTTCCAAACTGGGCATTGGAATGTAAAGAGAAAAAAGAAAAAAGCAAGCCTACTGAAAGACAGAATCCTGTTTCTTACAAAGTCAGAACTTGTGACTGTGAAACATCTGGAACTCTGAGTTTGCACAGAATGAAGCAAGTATGAGGGACAGATGAGACCCTCTCGGTTGGCTGCAACCACAAGTAGAATGCAATGATTATCTTTTTTTAAAATATCTTATTTATCTATTTGAGAGAAAGAAAGCACAAGCAAAGGGAGGGGCAGAGGGAGAAGCACTCTCCCCACTGAGCAGGGAACCCAATGCAGGGCTTGATCCCAGGACCCTGGGATCATGACCTGAGAGGAAGGCAGACACTCAACCAACTGAGCCACCCAGGCGCCCCACAATGATTATCTTTGCCCTAAAATTTTAATAGGCGGCTCCCCTTCTTCTCCAGAAGAGGTTATTTTCCTCTCTTAAAAGCACTTTAGTTACACAATGTGAGCATTCTTTCCCAATACCGGAGAGGCACAGACAAAAGAAGTCTCTGTACATCAAAACCGGCTTGCTGAGCAAAGACAGCCATCTTCCATGACTACGGATTCTTCAGACCTACGAATCCAAGTCAGCCAGGGTTCCCATATAAAAAGCTGTTTAATTTCATTTCTTTTTTCTTTTTAAGACTTTTTTTTTTTTTTTTTTCTGACAGACAGAAATCACAAGTAGGCAGAGAAGCGGGCAGAGAGAGAGAGAGGAAGAAGCAGGCTCTCTGCTGAGCAGAGAGCCCGACACCGGGCTCGATCCCAGGACCCTGGGATCATGACCTGAGCCGAAGGCAGAGGCTTAACCCACTAAGCCACCCAGATGCCCCTCATTTCTTTTTTCAATCAGGGCTCTTCCCTCCCAACATTTTACATGATAATTTTCAAACGTGAAGTGGAATTATCCAACGAATATCCCTAAAGCTGTCTAGAGTTCACAGTCAACATTGTGCTGTGATTTTCCTTATCACAGAACTGTCCATCTACCCAACTCTCTACTCATCCGTTGGTTCATCTTTGTATAAATATTTCCATTTAAATGTAATGAAAGCTTCTGAGTTAGGGTATGATACGATCAATTTGCATTTCCACATGCTCACGCTGTTAGCGAAGTGAAGCATGAGTCGGAGGAGGGTCAAAGTGAAGCAGGGAACACAGCCGGGAAGCTCTGCAGAAAGGTGCAGAAATGCGCAAGGTGTCTGGAGTGACAGACGCGCGTTTGAACCCCCGCTGTCACTTTTTAGCTGTATCACCTTGAGCAGGTCATCTCACCTTCATCTCTAACAATGGCCTGGGGTGCCTGAGTGGCTCATTCGGTTAAATGTCTGACTCTTGACTTCAGCTCAGGTGATGATCTCAGGGTCGTGAGATCAAGCTCTGTGTGGGGCTCTGTGCTGGCTGTGGAGCCTGCTTAAGATTCTCTCTCTCTTTCTCCTCTGTTCCCTTCACTCACACATACCCATGTGCACTCTCTCTCAAAAGAAAGAAAAAATATTTTTAAAAAAATTACTTGGGGGTGCCTGGGTGGCTCATTTGTTAAGCCTCCGCCTTCGGCTCAGGTCATGATCCCGGGGTCCTGGGACTGAGCCCCACATCAGGCTCCCTGCTTGACAGAAAGCCTGCTTCTCCCTCTCCCACTCCCTCTGCTTGTGTTTCCTCTCTCTCTGTGTCTCTTTCTGTCAAATAAATGAATAAAATCTGTAAAAAAATTAAATGATTTGATGACTAAGCTCATTACCTCATGTGGTTGTCATAGTTACATGAAATGGATGCACATAAAATACCTCATAAAGAATGCATGTTCAGTAATGTCCAGCTCCAATAAATGAAACTGTAAAAATTAAAAAACAATTTACAGGCTCCTATCTTCCCAGCCTACTTCCCATCCATTTACCCTTCTATTTCCCATTCAGTAACCATCTTGTTTCTTTCATCCTTGTCCAGTATCTTCTATGGTTCATTATCTTCTTAGTATCCTAAACTTCCCTTCCCCTAACCATTCTGTCCTTTTATCACATTCCTTTGGCAAAACTCCAGCCTGTCTACCCCCTCAACTTATCTACCCACTCTCCAGTGCTAGGACAAGCTGGCTCACCCAAAATGAATGAGCAGCAGCCTGAAATGGGCTGTCTGGCCACATGAATCTTGAGATCCTCATCCCATAACTCCCTCTTCCACTCTCCTTGAGTCTCCTGTTTTCTCCAACCTTCTTCAACTCAGACCTTTCCCATCTCTCACACACCTCCCTGCTCTTTTCAGTAGATCTGCTCACTTCCTCATTGACAAAGGAAACAGAATCCAGCAGAGAGTAACTTCTTCCACTCCCCTATCAAACAGAACAAAGATCCCACATCTGCCTACTGCTTCACCTCTCTTCACAACAGAGAGCCGTCCCTCCCGCGGCAGTCCGACACCTCCACCTGTACCTTCAATCCCACTCTCTGGACCCTTCAACAAACCTTCAGTGATCACAACCCCTTCTCTCACTTCTCTTCCACTGGACCCTCCCTTGGAAATTTCAACATGCCCAAATCACTCCCGTTTTCAACAAAACCCAGTATGTAAGACAATGTCCTTGTTCTTTGGAAATGCCACCCAAATATTCATTGGTAGGGGGACCTAATGTGAGCAAAATACTCTCAAATAGTTGTGTGTGTGTGTGTGTGTGTGTGTGTGTGTGTGTGTGTGTGTGTATGATAGAGAATGATAAAGTAAATGGATGGGGCAAGTGTTGACAATAGGTGAATCAGGAAAATGTTATTTGGGAGTTCTTTGTACTAGTCTTGCAATTTTTTGAAGGTATAAAATCATATCAACATTATGATGGGAATGCAAGCTGGTACAGCCACTCTGGAAAACAGTATGGAAGTTCCTCAAAAGGTTGAAAATAGAGCTACCATACAACCTAGCAATTGCACTACTGGGTATTTACCCCAAAGATACAAGTGTAGTGATCCAAAGGGACACCTGTACCCCAATGTTCATAGAAGCAATGTCCACAATAGCCAAACAATGGGAAGAGCCCAGATGTCCATCGACAGATAAATGGACAAAGAAAATGTGGTGTGTGTGTGTGTGTGTGTGTGTGTGTGCATAATACACACACACATACACACACACACTGGAATACTACTAAGCCATCAAAAGGAATGAAATCTTAACCATTTGCAATGACACGATGGAACTAGAGGGTAGGATGCTTTGTGAAATAAGTCAATCAGAGAGAGATAATTATCATATGATCTCACTCAAATGTGGAACTTAAGAAATGAACAGGATCATAGGGGAGGGGAAGGAAAAATAAAACAAGAAGAAATCAGTGAGGGAGACAAACCATAATATTAATCACAGGACTCTTAATCATAGGAAACAAACTGAGGGTTGCTAGAGGGGAAGGGAGTAGGGAATAGGGTAACTGGGTGATGAACATTAAGGAGGGCATGTGATGTAATAAACACTGGATATTATATAAGATTGATGAATCACTGAACTCTACCTCTGAAACTAATAATATACTATATATTAATTAACTGAATTTAAATAAAATAAATATACACACTATTTTTTAAAAAATCATATCAACATTAAAAGTTGTCAAGAAAGAAAAAAAAGTGAAAAGGAAATCTTTTACACCTGCCCTCCCCTCCAGCATATGACTTCTAGAAACTCTGCTGTACTTTGTTCACTTTTCAGGGAGCCATTCTCCTGACTGCCCTCCCATCTCTTTGCCTTTGTTCCTTCCTACCTGCTCTGTGGCTCATCTTCCATCCCCAACTGGACTTCCTCCGTGTTTAGCCCAAGGCTCTCTCTTCTTTCCTCCTTTGAGACCTTAATCACCACCTAAAAATTTCTATCTAGCCAAATCCTCTAACCTCCACTGCTTTCCAGGCTTCAAGCATAATGGCTTTCCTTCAGGTTCTCCAATAGGCCCCACTTCCCCCCACTACACTTAACACTTCTCTCACCTAGATAACTCTTCTAAAAAATGGAAGAGGAGAAAACACATTCCAATTTACTCTAAGTCCAGTATTAGCCTGACACCAAAACAAGACAAAGATATCACCAAAAACTACAGACCAATATTATGAATAGAGACACAAAAATCCTTGGCAGAAAAGAAGCAAATCAAACCCAGCAAAATATAAAAAGGATTATACTCCATGACAAATGGAACTTATTCTAGGAATTCAAAGTTGTTTTAACACCTGAAAATCAATGTAATATACTAGTTAGAATAAAGGACAAAAACCACAACACACACAGACACAGAGAGCATTTAATAAAGTCAAATACTCTTTCATGATCAAAATACTCAAAAAAACTAGAAATAGTAAGGAACTTCTTCAATCTGATAAATGTTTTTCAAACAATGCATAGCTAACATCAAACTTCGTGGTAAAAGACTAAATGTTTTCACCCTAGGGAACTGATATAGGAACAAGGTAATTATGCCTGCCTGATCACTTCTATTCAACATTACATTGGAGGTTATTGCTAGCACAATGAGGCGAGAGAAGGAAATAAAGATGTTCATAAAATAGAGAAGTAAAATTACTTCTATTAGCGGAAGATGTGATCTTGCGGACAGAAAATCCCAAGGAATCCTCTTTAAAAACTAGTAGAACCATTAAATGAGTTAAACAAGATGGCTGGATACAAGATCAAAATAGTAAAAGTATATGCAAATGATTTTACACTAGGAATAAAAATGTGTCAAAATATTGTGTAAATATTTACATAGACTAGCAATAAACAATCCTAAAATTAAGAACATAATTCCATTTATAATAGCATCAACAAGAATAAAATACTTGGGAATATAATTAATAAAAATGTGCAAGGCATGTACAATGAAAACAAAACAAAACAAAAAAATGTTGAAAGAGGGATGCCTGCCTGGTTCAGCTAGTGGAGCATATGATACTTGATCTGGGGGTTATAAATTCAAGTCCCACCTTTTTTAAAAAGTTGAAAGAAACTAAAAATCTAAACAAATGGATGTCTTTCCATGGATTAGAAGAGAATCTTTTAAGATAGCAATATGGTTCAAATCGATCTGCAGATCAATGTAATTCTTCTTAGCTGCATCTCAGTTGACTTTTTTTTTTTTTTTTCTTTTTTTTTTTGCAGACACTGACAAAAGTATTTAAAAATTCATGCAGAAATGCAAGGGACCCAGAATAGCTAAAACAATCTTGAAAAAGAACAAAGTTGTTGGATTCATACTTTTTTATTTCAAAACTTACTAAAGACCCACAATAATCAAGACTGTGTAGTACTGGCATAAGAATGGACATATAGATCAATGAAATCGAACTCTGAGTCCAGAAGTAAAACCTTACAGTTATGGTCCATTGATTTTCCACAGGGTGCCAAAACAATTTCACAGGAAAAGGAAAGGACAGTCTTTTCAACACTGAGACAACTGGATATCCACATACAAAGTCACTGGCTCTTTGGAAAACAGTTCAGTAGTGCTTCAAAAGAATAAACAGAGTTACACTCTAACCTGACATTTCCACTCCTAGGCATATGCTCAAGAGAAATAAAAATACATGTTCACATAAACTTTACACCGATGTTCACAGCAGCTTTATCCATAATAAACCATAAGTGGAAACAATCCAAATGTCCATCAGCTGATGAATGAATGAATAAAATGTGTTCTAGGCACACATGGAGTATTTTTCAGCTTTATAAAAAAAAAAAACTAAGTTCTAATACATGCCTCAAGGACACACTTTGACAATACTATACTTAGTGATGAGAAGCTAGTGTTAAAAAACAAGACAACAGATCCAAAATGGTGTCACTTGTGCTAAACTCCACAACCAATCAGGAGCCGCCTAGTTAGGTAATCTGCCAGAAAGGTCCTTGCCATTCCCTACAGAGATGTAACCTTGCAACAACCTGCTTTTTTGGCCTAGTATTACTTCCTTCTTCTTGCTCGCTTCTGACTCTAAGTCTTTCATTTTGTTCAGCTCGTCAGAACTCCTTTCTACATGCTGGATTGGATACTGCCCAATTCCAATCGCTTCTTGCACAAATTAACTTAGAATTTTAAACATGCCTCAATTTATCTTTTAACCACATGTTGAATGATTCTATTTATATCAAATTCCAAACTGACAAATCTACAGACAGTAGACTAGTACTAAGACTGAAAGGTCATGGTGAATGGAGACCGCTAATGGGTAGGGGTATTTCTTTTAGGGTGATAAAAATGTTCTAGAATTAGATTGTGGCGATGGTTGTACAATCCTGGAATATATGAAAAGCCACGGAATTTGACATTTTAAATAGGTGAATTTTATGGAATGTGAATTATATCTTTAAAAAGATGTTTTCCTAAATAAATAATTATATAAAAATAAAAAGCTGGTTTTTAAAAAAGAAGAAGAGGAACGGAAGGGCATCCGGTCACACTGCCTGCAAAATTTGGGGGATTTCCCCAAAGATGTGGCTACGGAGGCCATGTGTTGTTGGGGAGAAGCGGGTGGGGGGGGGGAGGGAAATTGGAAACGTGCCAGGAGAAGCCTCCGTAACTTCCCAATTATGAGAGAACGATCTGATGCGTTGCCCAGACCCCCTGCCTACTCCCAATTCCAGGTCACGCCACAGTCCACAGAGACAACTGATTGAGAAAAATTGCAAAGTCTCCATTACACTCACCAACCCGCCAGAGTAGCACACCGAAATCCGGAAGCGGAGGCGCCATATTTGTTGTGGGAAAAGCTGGTTTGAAAGGAAGTCACTGTAGCCACGTTTGCTGAGGGCAAGCAAGGGCAATGTAACGTACCGCAGCCATCTTGATTGAGGGCACTCGCCCAGCCAGGGAAGTTTTGCGCGTTTGACAGTCTGGGCAATTTCTAAAAGCTTACAGATAAATGCTTTGGTGGACACGAAAGGGAATAGGAAAAAAACATTTAAATTTAAATTTAAAAAAATTTAAATGTTTACGTTTTAAAAAAACAGAAAGTGTCGGGTCGCCTGGGTGGCTCAGTGGGTTAAGCCTTTGCCTTCAGCTCACGTCATGATCTCAGAGTCCTGGAATGGAGCCCCGCATTGGGCTCTCTGCTTGGCGGGGAGCCTGCTTCCCCCTCTCTCTGCCTGCCTCTCTGCCTACTTATGATCTCTCTCTGTCAAATAAATAAATAAAATCTTAAAAAAAAAAAAAAGTGTAGAGAGAAACTAATCAAAGACAATGAAAATATTTTAGTATGTTGCGTGCGGCTTAGCCCTCCTCAACTGCCAGAATTGCAGAACCACAGAAAAGAGACTGAGGTTATTGTTCCGTTTCACCATCTTCTTGAACGAGTCCTTTACATTCACATCCTCCTACAGATGACTATCTTAGGATAGGACCCCATAAATTAGGGAGTACTTCACTTGAGATGAATATTTTAAATAATGCTACCTGAGGTTTGGTCAAGCATAGGCCAAATTTTAAGGAAAATGTAAAGATAAAATCAGAAGTAAAAACCTATTCAGACAAACCTAACGCAACATCTGTAAATTTCATTTTCTCTTCCAGCATTGGTAATCAAAGTGTATAAATTCACTTTTCACTTCTTTGGTGTAATGAATCTCACAAAAACATCCTTCTAAAGTAACATAGAGGGGCGCATGGGTGGCTCAGATGTTTAACTGTCTGCCTTCAGCTGGTGCTGTGATCCCAGGGTCCTGGGATCCAGCCCCAAGTTGAGCTCCCTGCTCAGCAGGGAGTCTGCTCTCTCTCTCTCTCTCTCTCTCTCTCTCTCTCCCTCTATTGCTCCTCCTGCTTGTGTGCTCTCTCTCTCCCTCTGTCAAATAAATTTTGAAAATATTTTTTAAAAAATAAAGTAACATAGATTGTAGACCAGAGAAACATAGACCAGAGGAAGTCTGGAATAATACTAAATTACTTTCCTGTTTGTTTCATAAAATGACTAACTCAAATATAATGGAATGAACTTAATTATCTGGATTATTATATAACCATTAAAAATGATAGAAGATACAGCAAAAGGAAATCTCAGATGATGCATTGCATTCTCAGTTTTCATGGTTTTTTTGGTCTCCTTTAAACTCCATTTCTCAATCGTTCTTTTTATATCTTGGTGTTGACATTTTAAGATGTCAATTATTTTGTAGAATGTCCCTCAATTGGAGTCTGATATTTCTGCCTGGTTTTCAATGGCATTGAACACTTGATCAATCCCTCTGGAAAACTCTTGTCTCTGGGTTTCCTTGATACTACCTCCTTCTGGTTTTTCTCTTCCCTCTCAAAAAAATCCATCTAAATCTCTTTTACAAGCTCTTCTTTCTCTTCATTTTGGGCCTTTCTCAAGATACTGTCTTGACTCTTCTCTTCTCCCATTAATGCTGCTTATTCCCAAACCGCTAAGCCTAGTCTCCTGGGGGTCAAATCAACGTATCCTACAGCCACCTTTAACTCAATGTTCCCCCACCTTTCAATCAACCTACTCCTATCCCAGTGTCTCCTGTCTCAGTTGAATTGGACTCTTCAGTCAGAAACTTTTTCTCCTCCTTTGTCAGCTTGTCCTGTATCCATTCATAATCAAATCCTCCCCTGATGATTCTTTCTCTTAAAGATCTATTGACTATCTCTTCATTCTCTCCATCCTTACAGCAACTTTCTGAATACAGCTCACCATTATCTGCCACCCCGATGACAACAGCTTTCCAACTCTCTGGCAGCCAGTTGTTATTTTGTTTTGTTTTGTTTTTAAGGTTCTATTTATTTATATTAGAGAGAGAGAGAGAGAGAATGAGAGAGAGCAAGCTTGAGAGGGGGAAGGTCAGAGGGAGAAGCAGACCCTCCACTGAGCCAGGAGCCCGGTGTGGTGTGGGGCTCCATCCTGGGACTCGAGGATCATGACCTGAGCTGAAGGCAGTTGGTCAACCAACCAACCAGGGTGCCATCCAGGCACCCCTTGTTTTGTTTTTTTTTTAATGAAGATTGAATACACCCCTCCTTGACCCTCAGGCTAAATATCAAATTTCTTAAGTAGACTTAGAGGACCCCTATGCCTTATTTCTCATCACTGTCCCCCAACCTTCCACCTCTACATTATTTTCATTTCCTTAAATATGCCATACTTGCTCTCTTTTGCCCCTGAGCTTTTTACTTACACAATTCCCTTCCTTAGGGACATTCTTCTTTGGTCTTTCTCATACTTCAGATCTTAGCTTTAAGGAATTCTTCTGGAAAACCTCTGACTTTCCAAATGTGAGTTTGTAGTCCCTTCCAGGAATCCCCGTGTTCCTCCATTTAATAAATTCCTTTGCCCTTTTGGTTTTTCCCACTAACTGTAACCACTTTGAGGACAAGGACATGGTCTTGTATTTACTTGTGGTCCAGATCCTAGCCCAGTGACATAAGTAAGTACTTAGTAAGTGTAAGTGCTCAGAAAGCATTTTTAAATTTTTTAAAATTTTTATAAAAAGTTGTGTTTAATTGGGGCACCTGGGTGGCTCAGTGGGTTAAAGCCTCTGCCTTCAGCTCAGGTCATGATTCCAGGGTCCTGGGATCGAGGCCCCCATTGGGCTCTCTGCTCAGCAGGGAGCCTGCTTCCTCCTCTCTCTCTGCCTGCCTCTCTGCCTACTTGTGATCTCTCTCTCTGTCAAATAAATAAATAAAATCTTAAAAAAAAAAGTTGTATTTAATTAAGCAACCTCTAACCTCAATGTGGGGGCTTGTATTCACAACCCCCAGATCAGGAGTTGTGTGCTTTTCTGACTGACTAGCAATTTTATATTCATGAATGGATAAGTCTCTTCCCAGGTGTCCCCCATTCCCCACTATCACCCAACTCAATCCATCCAAGATGTCTCAAAAACATAACTTCTTGAGGACCCTGTGTGGTTCAGTCTGTTAAGCAGCTGGCTCTTGGTTTTGGCTCAGGTCATGATCTCAGGGTCATGGGATCAAGCCGGGTATAGGCCTCTGTGCCCCGGGAGTGGGGGGAAGGGGATGGAGGGAGGTCTGCTTGAGATTCTCTCTCCCTCTCCCTCTGCCTCCTTCCTGCTTAAGCTCACACGCATTCTCTCTCTCAAATAAATATATAAATAAATTTTTTTAAAAAAGTAACTTCTTCCTGATCTGTTAATCAGTGAAATAAACACTGAAAACTTTAGCCACTGTCACTCTTTCTTTGAAAAACAGGTTTGTTTGCTTATAAACTAATTCTTATCTACTCTCTTGTGGCCTTTCCATGAGAGGTTTTATCTTCCTGGTGGACTTCCTGGAGCAAATTTCTGAAGTCTCAAGTGACTTTTCTTTGCCACATAGCATGCCTCTGACCATCTTTTCTTACCACTTTCAGTTGGTTAGTGCATAAGAGATGAAAACTAATTGAAGTCATCATCAAAACAAAATAGGGACTGTAAATCTAGAGACAGCAAAGTAGAGATTTTATTGCATTCCAAAAGTAAGGTATAAATTACTTTTGTTCCCCTGCTGTTTTGCCATTGATTATATAATGGCTGTGAAAATGGGATCATGTCACAATCTTATAAAACCTTTATATTTCATGGTTGATTTTTCTGCCATCAGCTGAGCTAGCTGCTGCTAAATCTCTTTCAGCAGAAAGAAGTCACTTTAGGTGAAAGACCAAAAATAGCTCTTTCAAAGGAGGTTGATGTTGTTTGCAGTTATATTATCTGTCTTTGTCATTCTGAACCTTGATCCAATTACACAGCCATCTGGGGCTGTAGCTTTAAGAAAAAAGAAAGAAAACCTTACCAAAAAAAAAAAAAAGAAAGAAAGAAAGAAAGAAAAAAACCTTACAAAAGTTCAAGGGTTGAGTACCTGATGAGTCTCAAAACATCTTACTGTTTTTCATTCATATAATATTATAAAACCATAATTAAACAATAAGTAGATAACCAAGGGAAAAAAAAATCCCACAGACTGTAAGCTTCCAGACTAGAATGGAAGATCCATGAAATGAAGGTGCGGGTTTTATTTGCCAATGGATACCCCAGTGCTTGGACAGGGTATATTTATAATGAACTTAAGCTTGGACCTTAATTTCTAAGGTCAGTACTAGCGCAATGGTAAGACTTTAGAGATATTGTCTGATGAACATCCCATGATGCTAGGGCAAAACATCCATTTCCTGGCACACCACACCAGTGAGGGCTTAACAAATGATGTGCCATTTCATGATAGGGACAGGCACATCTGGTCTATAATCCAGAGGCACTCTGGACTGTCTACATTCAGAGGTGAAGAAACAAGAGCCCTTCGCTTGGAGTCAGGAGGCTGGGCTTCACTCTTAGCTCTCTCATTAGCCAGTTATGAGGTTGTGGTCCTTTACACTCTGTGAGCCATAATTTTCTTATCTATGCAAAGGGAACCGTAACTACCTTCCAGGACTACTTAAAAAACAAAACAAGAAAAAAAACCGCTTGATGAAGTCATTGACAGACTGATGGCCAGAAATTCTAAATTCACTTTCCTCCCAAGTTAATGATTTGAAGACTTCCAGGAATGATGAAAGAATTGTCTGCAGAAAACAAATGCAGCTTGTAGAGGCTGTACATTTAAAAATTGATGACGCTATGAATACTGAAGAAATAATTTGTTTCATTTTTTAAAAGATTTATTTATTTATTTGAGAGAGAGAGCCATGGTGGGAGGGAGGAGGACAGAGGAAGAGAAAGAGAGAGAATCCTCAAGCAGACTCCCCACTGAGGGCAGAGCCTGATGTGGGG